TTTCCCTAGCACATCACACTAGGATTGTCCATTCTGAGGAACTCAGAGATCAAGCACCTCTAGCAAAGCACATTTTGAAAGAGTTCATTCCAAACAAAACACAAAATGAAATAAGACAACTCTTGAAAAACTCTGTGTAAGGAAATAAAGGATATAGTGCAAATCTCAAGTACATCCTGGCATCTGTCAAACTGGAACTATTCAAACCCGTATTTGTGAAAATACACTACAAGAGAGATTTGGGACCATTATTTAGCCATTGGTAATTCCATTTATAGGTTTGATACTGGATACCTGTGATATGTATGTATTTCTACTTAGTTCTGTGCTGTCAAATCTAGATTTCTGCCTGAATTATTCTGCTTATGTTCTTAGTATTATTAAAGTGTGCCATGCGCTTGCTGATTACAGGTTTCATGTTGAAACCTGCATAATTTAGATTGTAGTGAAAGTGCTTCTGCACATACAACAATGCAAATGCCTCTTCTTCCTTATTTGTTCCTAGACAAACACTCAGCCAGGCCCAGGGGCCCCAGGGCATTCCCATTTCTGCTTGGGCAACAGGCCACTGGTTCTTTCCTTCTCTACTTTGTGCCTACTATTCAGAAATCCAACTCACAGGAGGCTTTTCAGGTTCACTTGTACCCAGAAGAAAGAGCAAAGTGAATGTTTTATACTATCAGAGAAAGAAATAGCAGGTAAAATTATCTCTACCACATGGCACAAGTTTACACTGTTAATTTGCATTGGCAGGGCCCAGCTGGAATGTACTTTGCTTCCTTTCCAGTGGAGAGAGCAGGGAGCCCTTGCAGGAAATAGAAGCGAGAAAATGAATACATTTGAGCAGCTTGCACAAATGAAAAGTGCCTGGAAGGTGCATAAAACCCAGGAGCACACATGGGAGCTTGTTGATTGTGGCTAATTAAAATGTTCCCATCTCTCCTCTTTATTTGCTCTTAAAAGGCAGCATTTTAAAGGTTGCTTAGAAGAGAACGTGGTATCCAAGTGGCAGAGTGAGAAACCATAGAACTCTAGAGCGCAATGTTCAGATTCCTGATCAGTATCCTAATCCCAGTTGATTGCATGTTGATGTGTTATTATTAGCACCCAAAAGATTATCAGAACAGATCGAAACCATTTGTTATTCTATTGACAGTTGTTTATAAATTACACAATAAAGAAGTATTTGACAAGTAATAAAATCATCTTCATTATGTGTCTCTGTTCATGGTAGAATTTGAGACTTTGATCAGGAGAGAGGTCCAGGTTGGAATCTAGTTTTTTTCTGGACAGTTTTTCTTGGATCATCCTGTAATTTCTCCATATGAAGCCTCTACTTTTGACATCCTTTATTGATTTTGTATTTTCCTAACATCTACTCCTACCCATAAAGAGGTTCTATGCCCAAAATTTAAATGCCATGGAACAAAGAGTCAGAATTTCTAGAGAGTCCAGGGTCTGCCTTCACTTTTAATGACAGTTTGGGGTCTACACTCTTATCTTCCAGGGTCTTGAGTTCATGATTATGACAGACCTTCCTTTTCTCTTATTTCTCTCAGGATGTCTAAGTGTATTTGAGGGGACTCTTCTTCCCATGGGAATGCCAGTGAAAAGCTCCACACCTCCTAGGGTGGTGCCAGTGCCTCCCTCGCTACCTTAGGCAGTGTGTGCAGCAAGGCAGGCTGAGTGCCTCTCTCGCCTGCATGTGATCATATAATAAATAATAAAATAATAACAGCTATACTAAGTCCTCACTCTGCCTGAGGTTTCAAAAACACTTACCTTAAACTCAGACTGCAGTGTGCTAAGTTGCATTCTGAGGGTCACATAACTAGCAGTTGCAGAGCTATGATTTTACAAATACCAATTGATTCCAAATCTCATGCCCTTTCCACTAATCACCCTTCCACATAACACTTTGTACACATGGCTGCTTGCTCTTAGCTTTTATAGCATCTTGTCCACAGTATGATGCCTATTTTTGTTTTCCTAACTTAACTAATCTCCAACTCATCCATAAAAGCTCTGCTGCTGCTCAGCAAGAGAGTGTCTAGAACCAAGGCCAGTGGAAAGTGGAAGAAGTGGGAGATGGGAGGTAGCGGTGACTTAGGAAGTCAGCAAGTATAGTACTTGCTTCTTTCTCTTGGAAAATTTTTTTTCCTCATGCATGATGCTGCCAAAGAAGATAAAGTAAAAAGTGACACCTAGAAACTGCCTTTTAATCATTTTTCTCCCAGTTTTTCTCTCCTTCCTCTCTCCTCTCCTCCCTCCGTATAAACTTTGGTGTGATAGGGACTTAAATATTCACAAGCCCTCCAAAGCCCCAGTGGTAGCCTTTAGCACCCTCCATGCTTGGCCCACTGGGCCCCTCTGGTTTAATCTCTTTCAGCTCTACTCATCTACCTTGAACCCACCAGCTTTCTGATCCTTGGCACTTGCTTTTCCTGCTCCCTAAGATGCCCTTTCCCCAAAACTCCACATGGTCTGCGGCCCTTTCTCTTTAACCTCTGCTCAAATGCTACCTTGCCAGCAAGATTTCAGTGACCATCCTGTTAAATCCTTCCTTCATTCATTCGTTAGTTCATTCATTCATTCATTTGTTCGTTCATTATTTATTTATATGTGCTGGGGATTGAAACCCAAGGCCTTTCACATGCAAAGCATGAGCTCTGGCATTGAGCTATATCCCAGTTCCCCTGTATTGTAAATATCCTGCAACCCAGTCCTTCTTCGCCGTGGCAGCTACCACATTCTTTTTTTTTTTTTTCTGAAGCACAACATTTATTGGTACATTTAAGATATACATAATGATAATGTTCATCATAGGGAATTTGCACCTGTACATGATTTATCCTGCCTCTTCTTTTTTCCCACATTCTGATGTATAATTTGATTACTTGCTTACCAGCTGTCTCCTTCTGCTGGGATATAAGCTTTGTGAGTGCCTGGGATGTTGCAGATGTTCAGTAAATATTTTTACAAGGCTGGATGCAAGAGTGAGCAGTTAGTGGAATGGAGACTGTCTCAGGCAAAGGAAAATGCAAATGCCTGGGAGTCAAGAGTGTACAGCACATCCAAGAAATGAGGACTTGCTCTCTTGTTAGAGCCCAAGTATAGGAAGGACTGATGAGGAAAGGACTGTAGAGCAGGGCTGGGTCATGTGTTCTTTGAACACTTCCTCAAGGACCATGGGAAAGCTAAGTGTGGGGCCACAAGCTTGTAGTCCCAGCACCCTGGGAGACTGAGGCAGGAGTAGCAAGTTGGAGCCCAGTCTACCAACTTAGTGAGACTTTGTCTCAAAATAAAAAATTTGAAAAAGAGCCAGGAGTGTAAGCTCAGTGTGAAGGCCCTGGATTCAATCCCCAGTTCCAAAAAGGAAAAAAGCTGGGACGGCACCGAAGAACATTAGATTTGCGTTTTAGAAAGATCCCTGGTTTTGGGGCACTGGAGAAGACAGCATGTACAGTTGAGGAACCCAGGCGTGAAGTGATGAAACCACTGAACCTGGGATACCGGAGAATGGATGGCATGAAGGAGGCAGGCACAGTAAAGAATTTGAATGTGGAAGATGGAGAAATACAGGAAGTCGAGGATGACGGCCAAGGTTTTGGCTTGGGGAACAAGGCAAATAATGTTTCTGTTATCTATTGTGTAAGATATTGGAGAAAGATGAACTAGAGTCACCATATACAGTTGCACAGTGTGTGCATTGGCCAAATACTCCTACCGAGCCTAGGGAAGGGAATGGAGACTGGAGTGCAGCCCTTCATATACCCACCAGCCTTGTACCCTGGCCCAGAGCTTTATCCGCCAGGATAAAGACGCACATTGTCCTCATTACCACAAAGCTGCTGTATCATCTAATGATGGCTTTGAACTGAATTTGACTGTGAACTTGTGTGTGGAGCGCCTGTCATATAATCAGGTAGAAATGTCTGTTACAGTGATAGATGAACAGATCTGGAGCCCTGGAGTGAGAGCTACAGTGGAGATACAGATATTGGAGTCACTTTCTTGCTGAAACTGTACAAGAAGAGGACATCCATTGGGAGAATAGTGAAAAGGGAATAGGTGTTGATGTTCAAGTGATGAACACACTGTGTGGGTCACTCTGGCAGCTGTTATTTTATGTACACTTGCTGAAAACAAAGCATCTTAGTTTACATGAATTTTTTTTATTGGTAACCCAGGGCCTTCATACTGAATATTCCCAGCCTCTTTTTTTGGTACCGGGAATCAAACTCTGGACACTTGTGAGGCAGGTGTGACACCACTGAGCTAAGTCCCCAGCCCTTTTTTTTTCTTTTTGAGACAAAGTCTCGCTAAGTCACTAAGCAGGGCTCGAACTTGCAGCCCTCCTGCCTTAACCTCCCAGAGTGCTGAAACTATACACATGCACTGCCACACCTGGCACCATGACTATTTTAATTACCTCATTGGATAGATATGATTTTTCATGATTCTATGATGTAATACCAAAGTTGAGGAGAACATGTTTAATTAAAATAAACAGATCAATTAAATCTTTAGAAATCTCCCCAAGAGCCTTCTTGGTATATACGTGGTGCCTCCTTTTAAAGCTCATAGAGAAGTAGATCAAGTAGATCAAGATATATAATACCGTGATTGTTCTCCTTAGAAGCATCACATACATTAAGTATTAATTCTGTGTGTGTGTGTGCTCATGTGTGTATGCATATTTGTATGTATGTATTTCTTGAGACAGAATCAGGTAATTAGGCTGGCCTCCCAATACTAGAATTACAGGCATGTGCCACCATGCCTGGCAGTATTAAGTATATTTAAATGTTTGCTTAGGACTAGGGGTGTGGCTCAGTGAGAGAGCCACTTACCTGGTGGCTATGTAAGTAGAGCACTTACCTGGCCTATGCAAGGCCCTGGATTTGATCCCTAGTGCTGCACAATATTACTGATGATGATGATGATGATGATGATGATGATGATGATTAAATAAAATGTTTATTAATTTCCTCTTTTAGTATTCCATCTGCAGTGAACCACTAATAGAGCTGTCCAACCCTGGAGCCAGTGGATCCTTGTTTTTTGTGACCAGTGATGATGAATTTATCATCAAAACAGTTCAGCATAAAGAAGCAGAGTTCCTCCAGAAGCTACTGCCAGGCTATTACATGGTGAGGAGCTGCGGATAACTGAGGTTTCTGCTTTAGATTTCATTCCTTTCCTCAGCAGTTATTTTGGGTATTCTCTATGTTTTTTAAATGACTCTTCAGCATGTTTTTTCATCTAATTTTAGATTATGCCATAACATTTGTTGAACAAATTTTTAAAACAAAATAGAACTGAGCAGTAGACCAGAGTTGTTGAATAACTAAGTCCTGGTTCCAATCCCAACTCAGCCATCCACTGTGCAACTGTGAGTAGCTGTGACGTAGCTGCTGAACCTTGGTCCCCTCAGCCTTTGAAAGCTGGTCAATGGTGCCCATCTTGTGTAGTTATGGTGATAAAGGAACCAGTGCCTTGCAAAGCTTTTTGCACCCAGCACATAGTCATAATACGAATGGTTAACATTCATGGACTTCTTGTGTAAGGCTTGAAATGTTTTGCATCATTAATTTATTGAAACCTCACAGCAACCTTGGGTAATATAGGCATTATTGTTTTTTTAGATGAGGCAAAGGTAAATTGAGTGACAAAGCAGGGTCATTCACACATCTAGGACTGCACAACCAGAGGCTGCATTTTTAACCCCTACACTGTACACAGCAGCTGATCTGTATTAGCTACTATACTTCTTAGCCACTACACTTCAGAACTTAAGGTTCCATAGGCCAAGCATGACAATGTGAAAATCACTTTTCTTGTAATGTTTTAGAGACCAAGAAATAGTAACTTAACCTGGATGAAGTTATTAAGACATTTGATCTTAATTTTCAAAAGAATAAACACTTTTCCTAAGTGTTTCTGCCATTTTCAGAACTCTGGTTTTATTGTACTTTCATAAGATTTGTTAATTTTCTATGATTAGAATGGCTCCATGAGGACATTTGGATTTCAAAAGCCCTAGTTCTGCCATTCACTTTCTCTGAGAGGTGATGACTGATACCTGTTTCCAAAGAAAATCAGTGAAACCAGATGTGGTGGTGCTGTCTGTAATCCCAGAACTCAGGAAGCTGAGGCAGAGGATTGTAAATTAAAGGCCAGCCAGAGCTACATAGAGAGCTCAAGGCTGGCATGATAGTGAGACACTGTCTCAATCTATCAATGAAAATAAAAAATAAAATCAGTGAGATTTCACATAGCGTATTTGTATGTAAAATATTTAATTCCAAAATCTCCTGGAAGCAGTATTAAATACTGTGACTTAATGTCTTTTGGAATTCTAGAAATCGAAAATTTAAATAAATATCTTAGTGGATGGCATGCACATTTTAGATTTTGATCCTGAATAATTATTTTCTATTTTTAGAGAAATGGAAAACAGAAAACACTAAAACCAAGTATAATTTCTTTCTTAGAGATATGTATTACCAATATTTGTTGTACATGCTTTCAGAGGTATTTTATGCATACACACATTTTAAAATAATTTAAGCAATCTGATCACACTCTAATAATCTACTAAATGAGTAAATCTGAAACTTAGATATAATACTCCTTTATTTTGGAAATATATCATTTAATATAATAGCCATTATCCATATGTGGCTATTACAATTTAATTAAAATTCAATAAAAATGTAGAATGTAGCTGAACAAATGATTTTATCCCAGTCATGTATAATGAGCAGTATAATTCATCCCATTAAGAAAAAATGTGAACATCATGTGGTTAACCAAACCAGATGTTCAGGAGAAACCCAGGCTCTCAAAATTCAACACTTCTTCCTCTTAATTAAAATTCTTTAAGTGGGCAGCAAGATTTTTAACAGAATAAGCAAATTAATGAACACACACATATCTAACATTTACCAGTCTCTAAGGTTTCACATGAAATCTCTTGGAGAAAAACAGGAGCCATTCTCTAGAAATGCTAGGAAAAGATAAGGATGCCCTCCACCAGCAGTCCTTCCTCATACATTTGCTAGAAAGTCTGGAAATGACCTTTTGAGAAGTTATGGAAACAAGAGCTAAGTATAGGCACTGTCTTCTGTAAATGACACAATTTTAAATGAGCAATGCTTCAACTTAAACCAGAAATGTATAGAGGTAGTAAGTTCATCAGGTTTGTAGGATATAAGATAAATCTATATAAAAATCCATTGTATTCTATTATATAGCTGATTCAGAGTTGAAGATTATTCAAGAGAAAAGAGATCATGTTCGTGATGACAATTTAAAATGAACATTATTAGAAAAATAAAGCTATAAATAAATGGAGACATACTATAATTCTGATTTGTAACAAGATATAGTAAATGTAGCATATGTTCCATAATAATAAAAACGATCAAGGGCTGAGGATTTACCTCAGTGGTTTGGTCACCTGCCTCACAGGCGCAAGGTCCAGAGCTCAATACCCAATACCAAAAAAAAAAGACATAAAAACAATCAGTTCAGAGAGAATTTTTCTAATAATAAGAAAAATACCAGAGTCTGTCAAAACAGATATACAAGATGAAAAACTACAAAATTTTATTTAAGGATATAAAAAGAACTGCAATGATGAAGAAATTGATATTGATATTGATTTATATTCATATTAATTTGTATTTATATAATGAAGAAATATATATTGTTCCTGAGCTCAGTCAGGTAAACATTTCTATTACCCCACAATCAACTTGTAAAGCTACTAATTCCAATCAAAAATCCCAGTAGGATTTTTCCCAGAACTTGGCAAAGCTGATTCATTTGAAAGAGAAATTCTGCAAGTACTATCACTTTAAGAAACTTTTTACAAATGGAATGGAAAGGGTATAAAAATGGACAAAATACTTTTGAAAAAGAGGAAAATGATGGATCTGCCATGACATATACCAAAAATCCATCAGGTTGTGACTGATGTTGAAGATGTGATGTAACTACAGTCCTAGACAAATGGACCAACAGGTTCAAATGAGGTGTCCAAAAATAGGCCCTTGTGTATTTTACCACTCACTGTATTGACATAGGTGAGACTTAAATTCAACTGGGAAAGTTTGGACTATTAAATAAATGGCTATCTACTTGGGGAAAAGTGTATATTCCCTATCTCAGATCTTTCACACTCACACAAAATTCATTCCATATGAAGTGAGACCAATTTTAATGACCTAAACTATTAAAAATTTGAAAAGAAATACAAGTTTGTAACCTTAGGGTATAAAAAAACTTGGCTGAACAAAAAGAAAAGCACAAGAAGGTAAAAGTGACTACATCAGATGACAAAACATCTCTATAGCAAAAATAACAAACACAAAATAAATATAGAATATTCTGGATGGTGTAAAGATACTGAAAGTAGTAGTTACTTCAAATGTTGGGATTTGGAGGAAGAATCGGGATCAGCAAGGAGACTTCATCATATACCCTTTGGTAAATTATTTTAATATCTGTCTTTGAAGTGCACCAAAAATAGGTATGAAGTCTCTCTTTTTATAATAATAAAAAAAGATGACACAGTAAGAGAAAACATTTAGTCCATACAGAAGAGGAAAATTACAGAAATTCAGAATATATCAAAGATTCCAGCAGTGAGAAAGACCTACAGAAAAACGAGCAAAGGCTAATAACACAAAATTATCACTGAGGTAAAAATACATCAGAAGTACTAAATTTCTGTAATAACTAGTGATGTTCAGTTTTTAAACAAGTTACCAGTCTTCACAAATCATTGTTATAAATATGTTAAAGTTTGTTAATATTCAGAATTGGTGACAGTGGTGGAAAATGTATAATCTTAAACAGTGTGACTATAATTTGGTTTCACCATTTAGGAAGACAGTTTTTCAGGTGCTATTAAAATTTTAAATTTTATCCCTTGTACTCCAGCAATTAATCCTTTTCTTTTTAGCTGCCTCAAAGAACAGTCACTCATAGCACCCATTGATTCTTTGCTTGTATTTAGTTGACACTAATTTGAGACATTATGTCCATGCCCACTTTTACTACTGAGTTTAAAATGGTAGAGTTGCTATTCCAAGACTTAAGGAATAAATTAGAAACAACATAATTTTAGCAGTGGACATTAATAAAGATAATCATGTCCCATTTTTAATTATCATTTTAGCATGAAAACATATCTTAGTGGAGCATTATTTTGTAAAGTAAGAGGTTATAAATTTCTTTTTTTTGTTTTTGTTTTTTGTTTGTTTGTTTGTTTCTAGAATTTAAACCAGAATCCCAGGACTCTTTTGCCAAAATTTTATGGCCTGTATTGCATGCAGTCAGGGGGCATCAACATCAGGATTGTGGTGATGAACAACGTCTTACCGCGCTCAATGCAAATGCATTTCACATATGACTTGAAAGGCTCCACCTATAAGCGAAGAGCATCCCGAAAGGAGAGGGAGAAATCCAGCCCCACGTTTAAGGACTTAGATTTCCTTCAAGACATGCATGAAGGGTTGTATTTTGATACAGAAACATACAACGCACTCATGAAAACACTCCAGAGAGACTGCCGGGTAAGGAAGAGTCCTCGCTTAAATTTCCTTTGAAAAGTCATCTGTGATCATGTAACATTTGGGTACCACTTATCAAAAGCATAGAAATTAGGTCTATTCAAATTGAGCCAATAGAATCCTATCTTTCCCAATCCTGGCACTGACCCATGCTTCCCAAATATTGAATGAACTGGTGGATGATAAAGGAATTATCTAGAGTCGCCTAACTTACCTCTCTGTTGGTTTTCATACAGGCAGCTTTCTTTAATAAAATTGAACAAGAAACCTATGTTTTCTTTTCTTCCTCCCTTGTAGGGGAGGTAGTTTAACTAGAAGGAATAAAATTTAGTTTAATGCAGAGACTAGCAATCTTAGACAAAGTAAGATTCCAATTGAGGAGACAAGTTAGGGGAAAATGTACTTAGTAGGATTAATAAATGGCTCCCCAGAGATCTAATGTGAATGCAGAACCATAATATGCGTAGCACATTTGCTGAAATTATTTTGTGTGATCTGAATAGAGGCAATCAGGAAGGAAGTTGCCAGTTAGAGCAAAGAGCATTCCATGCAAACTTAGGAGAGAAACTCCCTCAGCCTCTAATGTTCTTTTGTTGTTTGTTTGTTTGTTTGTTTGTTTGTTTGTTTTTCCTTAAATAAGGCCAAAACCCAGAGAACATTTTTTGGCATGGTGAAAATAGGTAAAACTCCTTCTGGATAAAAGATAAAAATGCAGCCTTAATAGCTTCTGAAGAAAGATGATTCACTTAATAAATACTCAGAAATGTCATTTTCTGCCACAGATAAACTAAGGAAGATGTCCAGGCCATTCAGTTAACTTGGGAATAGTGGGGATAGGCGGAAAGCAGGGTGGTACAGGTATGGGCCTGGGTCTAACCAAGGCTTTCTGGAGGAGCAATTGGACACCCCAGGCCTGGGCACTCGGAAATTGAAGTGTGTCTAGGCTGTGGCCCTCCTATGGGCCAGGACAGATGGCCCAAGTCATTGCTGGGAGGAAAGAATGGTTCTCTGCCAGGCCCAAGCTAACGTGAAGGTGAAGAAGCTGTCTGCCCACCCTGTCCAGTGTGCAAAGAAGAAAATCCACACAGAACCACAGTCCTACAGTTTCTGGGTTTTTCCTTTCCCTCTGTGATAGCATGTATAATAATAAACAGAGATGTGTCCTTGAAATTGTTTTCTTCATTGATAGAGTAGTTCTTCCACAGCCCCCGTTCTTTAGTAACCTTTTATTGAATGCTCAGAATATGCTAGCTGAGTCTTTTTACTGCATCATTTCATTAATCCTCCAGCCACCCTTTGAGGTCAGTACTATTCACACTCTTATTTTAATTGCCGAAAAACTAGGTTTCTAAAAGAGGTTAAGAAACTTGTCCCACCTTACTTAGCAGGCCAGTGACAGCCCATGTCTGTTTGGGTACAAAGCATGTGCTCTAAACAACTGAGATTTAAGGATTCACTCCAAAGATTAGTTTTTTAATTATCTTTTCAGAAGTCAAGGAGGAACAATGGGAACCAAGCAAACAAAAAACTACCCAGCAGAGCTATTCAGATATCTGGGTGATTTATGATTTTCTTTTAAAAAGAAAAAGCAAAACACACACGTTTTAGTAGAAACCTTTTTCCTGTGTTTTTTCTACCCATGCAGGATGTGGGTAAAAAGTGACTCTTAATTTCCCAGACTTCAGTCCAAGCCTCTCTGCTTTTAGATTCATTCTCATTCTCTCTCTCCTTCTCTCCCATCTCCCCTCCCCCCCTTAATACCACATGCGTCTATGTAGAAAAGGGAGGAGGGTCAGATGTAAGAGCCATTGTACAGGATCTGCCTCTTTATTAGTGTTTCCTGAGCCCAATACTGAGAGAACAAGGTCAAATCAGACTTCTCAGGAATGAGACCCTGGAGACCCTGTTTTACTTTTTTTTTTTTTTTTTTTTTGGTCAGCTTTGTTTCTCTAAGGAACAGTGTAGAGGTGTCACAAGGCAAACTCTCTCACACTCATTGCATTTGATATTGTATAATACACAGATCATGAAACATCTTTAAATTGTGCAAAGGATTCTACTTTCAGAAAGGCTTTTTCCCCCGGTATGTGAATGGATAAATACTGTGCTGCCTGGACCCTGACTCCTGTCCCTGATCTGCCTGATCATAATCAAATCCTCAGCAATCAAGAGTCAACAGCTGGTCTGAGAGCAGAGCTATGTCAAGTAATGCACAATACCAGAATGGTGTCTCTTACAGATAGTCCTGAACCACTTTGCAAATCTGATGAGTGGTATGGATTATCCTTCCCGAAAAATGTGCACCCAACACATGGTTTATGAATCTTCCCATACCCTAGTCCTTCCGTACATCCCTCCTCCCAGCTGACTCCACATCCTCCAGCAGCAGTCACCTCTTGTTTCACAGGTCCATCTCTCACTTTTTATCTCCCTCTTTTTGCAGAGCTGAGCTATGTGTAGCCAGTGGGCTTTAGGAATCCAGGGAGGCTGGGAGGTCACCCCAGTGCTGGTGCCTGAACCAAACCATTGGAAATCTCTGCTGTTAAAATTCACCTAAGTGAAGCAGTACTGCTAAGACTCCAGAAACAAATCAGTCAGAGAAATGCATTACTATATAAGCACCCCAGCCAGACCCCAGTGTCTGGGAACCAGCCCCACATTAGGATAGATCCTTTCATTCACTTATCAGACATGTGCCAAGCACACTGTGTTCCAAGCATGAGGTGAGCGACCTCCATGTGTGAACAATTGCAAACAGTGTATTATATGCTATGATACCATGATGTTGTGAGGATTAGAGTAGGTGACATCCTAGCTTGATTTTGAAGGATGAGAGTTATCCAGGTAGGCAAAGCAGTAGAAGCATATTTCTAAGAAGAAAAACAGTATTAGTTGGTCATGAAACAGCATGACGTATTCCCGGAACTATAGGTGTTTGATCTTGCAGCTCTCAATAGTAAGGGAAGGCATTTGAGTCAGGAGAGAAGAGTAGCCAAATAATGTCAGAAGACCCTTTCTGGTTGTGTCAGTGTTCTCTTAAGGTCTTGCAAGTGGCAAATCCAAGTATTCCAGACATTTGGAACCCAGCGTTTCTGTCATTCCATAGACAGATATGATAAGCCACCCAACTTCTTATGGACGTCCTCTTGCTCCCCACCCCCACCCTCCGTCTCTTCTTTCGCATTCTGGCCTGCCATCTCAGACTTCAGGATGCGGTTTTCTTAGCCTGACTGTTACCCAGAAGATCTCTGCATGATTCATTGGGCCAGCTCATGTTCCCTTCTTCCCATGACTGCTTCCCTGATTCCCAATCAGAGCTGCTGTTTCTAGAATCTGCATTGGAAGACCTGAGCAGCTTCAATCACAGTGAGCCCTCTTGACAAATGCCATCCTTTCCCAACATCCCTGTGGGAGCTCCCAAGTCCCTTCACCTGCCTTCCTAAGCCCACTCATGAGCCTCTGAGTAGAAGCGTGCCTCTGTGGTGCTTCATCCCTGGGCAGCTCCTCCATAGCTCATTGGCCAAATGAACTATTTTAGAAAACTGATCTTGTTTTTTCCTTCAATATTGCCGAGCCAAAAGGATCTAAATAGAGTGTTCTCTCCAAACACAAAGATCCACATCATGGGTTCTCCCCTCACTGCCACATTGCTGCTCCCGCACAGGGAAATGTACACGTAAATCACTGGTCCCCGTTTTTGAAGCACTTCCTGTCTGTTGGTCTCACTCTCTCTCTGCCTGCTGTGATGGCTGTCCGTATCCATAAGTGAACTTGGTCCAAGGAAAAGAGTGGTAACAACAATGAGTACTACAAGGACATCATATATATAGGTCAGTTGCTCTCACAAACAGGAAGTATGATTTATTCAAACTGTCCTCTGTGGTTCTCACAAACAACCTAGATGCATGCCCTATTTGAAAATGTCTTTGCAGATACTCTGTCATCTTCCCCCAAGCCTGTACCTCTTGTCTTCCTTGACCTAGGAAACATGGTTTTTGTACAGCCGTTGCTCAAATCAGTGCCCTAAAGCTACCCTTTTCTCCTTCTTCTCCCTCTTTTTCCAATGTGGTTAATCGCCATGTCCTGTTCAGTCTCCTACATAACTCACGCATCTGTGCCTTCTCACATGCATCAACGCCCTGGTTGTTTATCTCCTGAAGTTCTGAGTAGCCTCTTTCCTAGTGCTCAGTATCATTGCCTTGCAGCTCATCTCCATCACTGTTGCCAGAGCAACCCTCTGCTCAGAAGCCAGCCAGTCCCTTACAGTCCTCTGCCCGGTTTTCCATTACCTTTGGGCTACAGCCTAGGCTTTCTAGCTTGGAACACTGAGATCCTTCCTAGCCAGGCATGGTGATACACATCTGTAATCCAGCACTTGGGGAGGCTGAGGCAAGAGGATTACAAATTCAAGCCCAGTTTGGGCAATTAGCAACTTAGCAAGATCTTGTTTAAAAATAAAAAAGGGCTGGGGATATAGCTCAGTGCAAAGGTCCCTGAACTCAATCCAAGGCAGGGAAGGGAAGGAGAGGTGAGGAATGAGGAGAAGAGGAGATCCTTCTTCATATGGTCCCTGCAGCCATCTCTGGTTGCCTCTTTCTTCTTCCTTTAGTCCCCTCTCTTCTGTACTCCAGAGTGCCTACAGTCTCCACCTACTCTGATCTACTGGCTGTACTCTCTGAAGCTTTTGCTCTTTTTTTCATGCCTGACCATTGTTCCTTCTCATCTTCATCTGCCCTTCCGTACTTATCTCAGGACTAGTCAGCCATCTCTTCCTCCAAGACCACCATGCTATGCTTTTGCCTGCATCCTAGCCTTACCTCTTTCAAGGGACTTAACTCATTGCGTCATTTTTTCACATGCAGATCCTTAAGTCTGAGGATCAAGCCTTAATAATTGTATCTACATACTTGGTGCCTAGAAGGTACTTAGTAAATGGTTTTGGAATATGTATTTAAAGAAAGGAATAATAAACTGAGGGTAGAGACTGAGGCACACCTCCAAGAAATCGGTCTTGGGGACTTTTTGTATATAGCTGTTTTTTGTTTTGTTTTGTTTTAAAGTTCTGCTTGTTTTGGAGGAAGCATGCAGTTTTAAAGCAGTGCCTGCCAGATGTGACATTGAGAGTTTAATAAAGCAGATGATCTCCATTTTGAACACTTGGGATAATTTGAAAAAACTGTACTGGCTGTCTTCATCCTGAGTCATTTGTTTAGCAGAAGTGTATTTATATTTCAATATTTTCCTGTGGAAGCAGTGTTGTAAATGGTCACTGGATTTTAATTCAGTATTGAACCTTTTTGCCATTAGTTATATGTTGTCTTTCCAGCTGGACTATAATTGTCTCAGGTCAAAGCTCATTTCTTATTCCTCTCTGGGGTCACAGTACCTAATTCAGCACATAAAATAAGATTATATGAAGACACTTTTGAATTGAAAATTTATATATTAACTTTGGAAGAAAAACTATTGACTATCTTTGTATTCATTTTTAATTTACTGTGATTATTTCTTCTCTGTTGTAATTTATCTATGACAAATCTCCAGTCCTATATCACTTAATTAATTGGATAAATTATTACATCCTGTAATATATTTTGATAACTCTGGGGAAATGACATAGAGATAAAGTATATTAGTGAGAACTTGTGTTTATAATCCAAATATTTCTTAATCCTTCAAGTGGGAGGTATATCAAAGACAGTCTTGATAATTAATGACCTAAATAACTTATTTTACATTTATTATCATTTTTGTTAAGCAGCAAAGTTATTAATTTTTAAATAGCATGGAACCATGGAACTTTTTTCACACAAGTCATTGAAGCCATAAATATTAATAGACTTTCAAAATTTAATGAAATTGACTTAATGCTAGGACTTTTTACTATGCAAAGTGGGATATTTCTAATTATATGGTCATTTCTCAGTTTATAGACCAACTTCTTACTGAGAACATCTTTACATGGGTTACAGAATGGATTAAGAGACTTAACTTAGTATTATGGCTAATGCTTACGATTCAGCTGTACTTTTGTTTAGTGTTAATATTTTTGCATTTAATTTATACAGTTTATTTTTTCTTTTGATATTGGCTGCCATCCCAGTTATCATTGGGGAGGGAAAATTTTTCTAATTTAATAGAAAAGAGATCTATACTCTTAGTGGTGTTGAGGCCTAAATTCAATCCATTCCCTCTCATCAATAAAGAATTGGATTTTGTTTTGAGACATCAACCAAAATATGAAAAGAGTTCAGGGATATTATTGACTCCACCCCTCTAAGATTACTTACAAAAGATGAGACAAATGAATTCACTACCTTTCTAAGTAAGTTTTACAAACACTATAATTCCATGATATATTAGATTTGCTCCACTATTTCAAATTATGAGGTAATATTATTTTGATACCATAACAGTATAAGGATAAAGCAAATTTTAGACTGGTGAGCAAATAAACAAAACCAACTCATAATCAAAGATTGTTTGAGCTGGAAGGGAGAGTCCCTGGGAAGTCCCTGGGAAGTAGTAGACTAGTACATTCCCCTCAATAGTCTAAGAGTTAAGTAATGATGTTGGACTTACTTACGAAAGGCAGGTTTCCTAGTAAGAACAAAAATAAAGACATACTTGCAAGGACTTTTAAAATGTTTCCCTGTATGTCTTTTTTTTAAACTTTTTATTTTCATATAATTATGGATTCACTTGCAGTTGGAAGCAATAACAGAGATCTCTGTACCCTTCACCCACTTTCCCCTGTGCTAACATCTTATAGGACCTTAGTATAATACAGCAACCAGAAAATTGACTTTGATACATTCTACTGATGTTTCTCAGCTTTCTCAACCTTACATGCACATATTTATGTATTGAAAGGAGGATTCTGTGCAGTTATATATGTATCTAGATTTACATATCCACCATCCCCAGTCAGGTGCAGAACAGTCCCTTCTCAAAGATCCTTCAGGCTACCCTTTTATAGCCACAGCCACCTCCCTCTTTCACAGACCCACCCCCGGTTTTGTACAGTGTGAATCTGTTTTTCATCTCTATAGTTTGGCATTTCAAAAATGATACATAGGGCTGGGGATTTAGCTCAGTGGTTTCGCTGCCTGCTGCGCAAGCGCAAGGACCCGAGTTTGATCCCCAGTACCAAAAAAAAAAAAAAAAAAAAAATGTAAATGTAATCATATGATATGTAACCATTTAAATTGGCTTTTCTTTACTCAGTGTAATATATTTGAAATCTGTCCACTTCACTTCTTATATCATTAGTGGGCTCCTTTTTATGGCAGGGGGATATTTCATGATATGAATATACCACAGTTTAATAGTCACCTGTTTAAAAAATGTGGATTTTTTTTTTTTAGTGTTTTAGTGTCTCAAATAAAGGTGCTATGAAAATTGATGTGCTGACTTTTTCCCTCAACATAATTTTTCATTTCTCTGTGATAAGTGGCTGAGTAAAATTATTGCATTATGTACTATATATGTTTACTTTTATAAGAAACTACTATAATGTGGCTGCACCATTTTATATTTCCATCAATAGTGTATGAATGATCCGTTTTCTCCTCATCCTTATCAGCATTTGCTATTGTCAGTCATTTTTATTTTAGCCATTTTGACACATATATTTAAGTCTCTTGCTAAAAAAATAAACTTACCTGAGGACATACATACTTCCCAGAAAAGCAAAAGATAAAACCAAGGAAGAAGCAATTGAGACTATTAAAAAGAGTAGGAAAATGAGTAACAGAAAATTTTACAGTTATGTCTGGTGGATGGTAATATGTCCATGGGACTTAATACAATTGACAAGAGTTCTTAAGAAGAGGTTTAAGATACTAGAGTTTTAGGGTGTGTGTTTCTACTAAACATTTCTATGAAACTGGATTACCATGGCACTTTATCCAAGTCAGTTTTATAGCCACCAGTATCTCTACAGTGTAGTATAATCACTTGATTTCATGTTCAATGTTTACTACTCCAATCTGGTCTATGTGAGACCAGGAATGTGCGGCTTCATTTTCCCACCTTATCCCACTCCATGGTTCTTGTTCAGCAATTCTCTTAGTGTCTATCTTCAGGTGAAGCCTAGGAAACAGCAATAGTATGCACTGTTGGAAGAGTACACTTTACCTAATCAACAAAGGTAATAAAAGCTGGTTTGGATAATAAATCCTACACCGGATTAGTCGTGAAAGAGAGCCAAAGCCAATTCTTGCTATTAATTTGTGAAGTATTATTCAAAGTAGATTTGTGTTGCTCATTTGGCCAATGTCTTTTAATGGTTAGCACATTAATAAATTGCAACTGTGTTGACTTCCCAGTCCCCTCATTTATTTAGGTGGTGACTGGTGTCCTAGTTTAAGACTACCCATACACCCCAACTGTCATCAGTATTGAAAGTGGGTGATGTTTGTCCAAGATTTTGCTGGTTGCTGCAGATTAGCTCTGATGCAGGTTGGTGGTGAGAAGGAGTCTCCTGCTGGCAGTAACCAAAGAGAAAAACTGGTCAGTGTGAGGTGGTCGTAGGGTAGCAACAAAAATCAAAATACTCTTCTATGTTGTTGTCCTTGACTGACTTTCTGCTAAGTAAGTAAGAGATACTTCAGTTGTGAGTCAAACAAGTAATTCTCAACATTGCAAAACCAGCTATTCCAGTTTTTGGTGGAAAAGAGTGTTCCATCTTAGATGTAACCTATAGATACCCCAGGAGCATAACACTTAAAACAGGCCATATGTAATATGTAATCATCAAATAGTTATACACAGTGTGGCATATAATACTTCCATTCATGGCATTAAGAACATATTTCCTAGACTCAGCTCATCTATAGATGGGGTCAGTTAACATTTATTGTGGACTTGCTTTGAGCCAGACAGTGCTCATCCTTATAAGCAGATTCTCTCATAAATCCTCTCAGCAGCCCTGTGAAGTGAATAGCCTGGTTCCCCTTTGACAGCTAAAGAAGTGAAGACTTGGGAGAGGTTAAGCATCCCCAGGTCTGCTCAGCTTAAGAGCTGGCTCTAGGACTCAAGTCTCTCTGACCCCATACACAATGTTTCTTCATCATCTGTCTCTCCTGCAGCATCTTGAAGGTGCAGTCAGAGAAAAGCTACTGAAATTAAAACTTGCTTTTTTCTTTTTTAAAATTTATTTTATTGGTACATTTTAGGTATACAATATGACATTCATCATTGGAGATTTGTACCTTTGCATAGTATATCTTGATTCTTATTTTTCCCCCTTCCCCTGCCCTCCCTTCAACCCCTCCACCCCTCCCTATTTACAAAGACTTTGCTCCCATTTTTTCATTTTCTCATATAAATTTCATTTTCCTTTCCTTCCCCGCCACTTTGCCTTCCCTTTTGCCCCTTTTCTTCCTATTTCACATTATCTATTATACATTATGATCGTTATTTATACTTTCAGTTTCTCACACCAGAGAAACTGTTCGGTAGAAATGAAAACTTTCTATAACAACAGATCTAGACATCAGAGGCTAGAAGTGCCCGGTGACTGATTCTCCAGCTCTGACAAGGAGACACTGGAGTGGACTCTGAAGGAGCCAGAAAAGGACTCTGTCAAAGTAATCATCTTGACTGGGACAGGACAACAAGTTAAAGAAAATGTGGACCTATTGAAAAGGGGAGGAAGGAAAGAAAACAGTGCCAAGTGACTAAGGAACACAAAGTAAAATAAATAATCCAGACATTTAATTGTAAATGTTTAATGAAAAGCATAGTCAAGCCCGTTGGCACTTGGCCCCTGTTACCAGCATTTGTGCACACAAAATGCTATTAACATAAAAGCAGCTCTTTCTGAAAAATGTGATGGTTACAGTGAGGTCGATTGTTTTTGAAATCTGCTGGAGAAGGAGAATGGGGACTAGATGTGCATCACTGACTCTTGTGTGAGCAGCTTATGAAAATTCTCATAAACTACAGAAGCTAAAGAATTATCAAGCCAGTAATTTTTTTGTGACCCTTCCTTTAAATCAAATAGAATGTTATACAAATTTCTATGGGAAAAAAATAGGAACAGCAGACCTAAGAAGTAAATTTCCTTTTCTTCCTGAAAGAAATATTCCCTAAAGATAAAGAATTAAGGGCCAAGGATTTAGCTCAGTGGTTTTGCCGCCTGCTGCGCAAGCGCAAAGACCCGAGTTCGATCCCCGGTACCAAAAAAAAAAAAAGATAAAGAATTAAAATATGCTCTGAGGCTGTCGTTATTGTTGTGGGGCTAGCTGGTTTTGATTATAAGTAACTTGTTACATGGAAACTTAAATATATAAGTTAACTAAAGCTGAAACCTTTGGTCTGTGAATAGAACACTGCTGTGTCTAGTATATTAGAGTTTCGGGCTTTTATGTGAAAAGACCCTACCTATCTTTAATGTGTAAATGATTGTAAGTATAGAGATAAAGTCATGGGAGGACTCTGAGTGGAGGGAGCTAAAGGAAGGAAGTGTCCCCACAGACCACATCCTCCTCCCTGCAGGGAATACTGGGAAAGCAGAGGAGAGCTGGAGCAGGAAGGGAAGTGGCCTCAGGGGGCCTGATGGGAGCAACTCTGGCTTTGAAGATGTGTGTTAAAAGGCTTTGAGTCTGGTGCAGTGGATCCGGTAGTGGGTGCCAGTATAAGCCAGTCACAGTCACATGGATCTCAGTGAGAAATAGAACTGTGTTGTCAATACCCAAACCAAAGGAGGCAGAGGGCCAGCAAAGCCTGGCCACTTAAAAATGGAATTGAGGCTCCATGTTTTAGGGGAGAACATCTAGATTTAGGTGAGGGGTGACAGTTACAGAGATCCAAGGCATACTTTAGAATTTTCAGAATTGGGAAGATGTTACAAAGTCAAGAAAATTGTTCAAAGATATGCCTTAGGTTATGCTTATTACGCAGCATATTGTGCACCTGATAAATGCAACCTCGTCTTCCTCCCAGGACCTTTCGACCCACTGGGAACACTTCAAAGAATACAGTCCCTTTGACTTTATAGATCACTGGTGGCGAACCTAAGGCACTTGTGCTGCAGCGGATTCACAGAGCCCTTTCTGTCCATGTGCGAGCCAAGTCACCCTAGCAGCCAAGCATTGGATAACAGTTGTTTTTTCTAAACTAAAAGCTCAGTATTCAGGTTTAATTGCAGTGTTGCTACTTTGCGATAAATAAGTGGGTTTTGGGTTGCAGTTTGGGTACTCGGTCTCTGAAAGGTTCGCCATCAGGGCCGGGGATTTAGCTCAGTGGTTCCGCCACCTGCCTCGCAAGCACAAGGTCCCGAGTTCCATCCCCGGTACCAAAAAAACCAAAAACAAAACAAAAAGGTTCGCCATCACTGTTATAGGTCATCCTTCTATTCTTTCAGCATCCACTGTACATGTACAGAATACCCAGGGTGAGATCAGAATGAGACCTGTATGACTACCTTCTAAAAGTGAGAGACTTTTTTTGGCTACACGAAGTCTCATCCTTTCTAAAATACTGTCCCATACTGCTTCTGGGAGCTTTGGCTCACCTGTGTGACTCCTCATCCCCGTTGATGTTGTCTACACTGTTTGTGTGTCCCTCCTCACTACAAATGAGTGTCCCTTAGATCTCACCAGTGCTCTTCCTTGAAAGAAATTGTCAAAGTTAGTATTTTGATCAAGAGTAACTCTTTTCTCCCCAATTTTGTCCCTTAAAACACCACTGATGACAATATGTACATTTGTGTATTCATATAAAATCTTTTAAAATGATGAATGACTATTCCTCGTGCATATAAGGGTACTTCTGTCACTTCAGGTTTTCTTAAGTGAGCAAAAACAGACTTGATACAGGTTAATCCACCACAGTCCAGAGTTATAAGTCACTACATTGGACACTACAAAACATGCTACCGTAATGAGGCTAAGAATTTAATATTTATTTCATTCTGCTTTACTAGTCACAATTATATGTCTTGTCAAAGCCTGTATTTTCTGTTTAGTACATTAGCAAAGAACACTCTGAGCTTTATTGAGGAAATTAAATTAAAAAGGCAGAATTCAGCTCTCACTGGACTTGCGGATGTTAGCAATTTTGGTGCTATACTCTCTGAGGGACCTTCTTAACGAGGAATAGCACAATCTTAGATTCATTTTTCCCTAAACCAGTATTTCCAGGAATGTCTGTTTGGATAAAATTTCCAGGACACTATTTTGAATTTTCTTATATTATTGGGTTAACAGATATTTTTGTGTCAATCATTAACTCATTATTCAGGAACTAGACCAGGGGTGGCGAACCTATGGCACGTATGCCATGGTGGGCCGTTTGTTATCATTGAAAGCTCTAAAAGGTTCGCCATCACTGAACTAGATTATATATAGGCTACCTGAAAGACTACCTGGGCTCTTTCATAACTCTTCCTGTTGGCTCCTCATAATGTTGTTTATTTACTCTTTAGATCCTCCATCAAAGAATGAACTGTTGAGAGGATTATACCGGTAGTAGAGACAGTTTTCTGCCTCATGACCCCAAATTACTGACTTTGATTTTCAGCTGTGCTATGGCTAGCCTATCAGCAGTAGAAATAGTGGTAAGTTAACTCTAAACAAGTATAGAAATGTATATCATTTAACCAAAGCAGGATATGAAACTGTTTTTGAAAAGTTCAAACATACAGAAAAGTGGACAAAATATTATAGTTAATACATATATATGCTGTACCCAACTTCAAAAATTTTTACCTCATAATCAGTCTTGTTTTATTTTACTCTCTCCCCTCACTGTGATTTGAAGCATATCCCAGGCATCACAGCATTTTATTCAGATATATTTGAGTAAGAATCCCACAATGCCAAGAAGCCCTTAAAAAACTAAGATACCATTAATGTACGCTTAAAATATTAATAATTCTTGCTAATCATCAAATAGAGTTTAAATTTCTAATTGTTTCAGAAAAAATTATTTAGATCATGATTTACATCATCTACTTAAGTCCTGCTGCCAGGATTTATATGTTCATTTTGAACATGTCTGTTGACAAAACTAGGTCATGCCTCCCAGAGTCTGGATTCTGGTGATTACATCCCATGGTTTCATTTAACATGCTCTTCTCTCACCTGTTTTTCCTGTGCAGTAATTGGTTGTTGAATTAGAGATTTGGTGGAACTTACATGTGTCTGTATGTATTCTGCCTTCTCTGATCAGAAGGCACATACTATCAGAAGGACCTTCTTTCTGTGATGTTCAGGCTGTTGATAACCAGTGACCAGGTCTATTAGTTCATTGTCGGTTATAAACTAGGGATCTTCTAATTTTATCATATTCTAGCTAGAGTGCTCAAAGGTGTTTTAAACGGGAGAGTGCCTGACACATAGTAGACACACAATAAGATATTTATTGATTGGGTTTGTTTTTTAAGAACCTTGTGACATGGGGAATTAGAAACCATACTTGCTTAATATTCAATAATAAAGCATTTCTTTTCCTCCTAAAATCACCATCATCTTTGTCTGTTTTGCATAAGGAGAACTTATGGAGAGCTTGAGTTTCATTGTGTTTACCACTCTTAATATCTTCTGGTGCTGAATACCAATTTTTAAATGCAGCTGTTTTCAAAGATATTTTAGATCCATCCAATAATTATCCTTTCTCAGCCTTATGCTAACTTAACTTTGCATTCCTGGTGGTTTGGAAAAGCAGACAGAGACCAGGAAAACTAAAGAAGCTCTGAGATGTACTCCAAAGCAGATCTTCTATCTTAGGGCCAGCACCAAGCACTCTAGGGTGATTAAAGAGTCTTTGTAGTTGACCCCGTCTATGATATGTTGTCTTAGCAAGGCTTCCCAAAGAGAAATGTGATAGTCTTGCTGGACCAAAGGGCAGCCTACTTTATAGCAAAAACCTTTTACCTGCCATTTAGATGTGTGACTACCAGTCAATTAAAAGAGTCTGTACATATTACCTTGATTTTGGCCCTCGTTCCATTGTGTATCAAATACCTGTAATGTAAGTAGGTTTGAAAACACTATGGACTTTTATTTTTGTTTTTCTGACAACACGGCACAAAATTACAATTGTTTTCATTGCTGAAAATTTTTCTTAGACATCATAATCATGCCTTATTTTTGAGGCATAAGAGTGTAGTATTAGACATTCTATGCTGCTAAATATTTTGGATTTTACTTGCTTATACACATGGAAACCCGTATAACAAATATACATTCCAACTATGTTCAGAGAACACAGTAGGAAGCACAAAATAAAACAAGCCTTTGATGAGCCAGTCTTGTGTAGTCATAGGAAAAAATGCAGATAGACCTGAGGTTGAGTTTTATACCACAGAGGAACACCAATAATGTGCTTGGGTTTTCAGAGTGGAAAAATAGTTCCAACAGTTTGTTGAATCATTAGTGCAATTTTTATGAAGGTGACAATTGAGTTAAAAACTTTAAAAAATAGTAAGAATTGAAAAAATAGTAGGAACTTGCAGGAAGAAATCACATAAGCAAAACCACTAGGGTTTACATCTTTTGAGCATATTTAAGGGTAAGGAAGGAATTTGAGTCTGAGTAGCCCAGGAGGTGCTTCTAGGCTGGTAATCAAATAACAGAGTCATTGACTGAGGCCACAGTAGCCAGGACTTTCAGTGTCATCCTGAGTCCTTGGCACCAAACAAAGGCAAGAATCTGAAGGCTTTGAGTGGGGGTGTGGTGTGACCTGCTCAAGCAAGGGTCAGGAATGGATCCAAAAGGGAAATGGAAGTCAGTTCATCAAGGTGTTGGGGGCGGGGGTTGAAAATACAAGCTGTAAAACTGGGCAACTTCATGAAAGGAAAAGGAAGGAGTTGTGGAGTCCGAAATCCACATCAGAGTGACTTCAAATAAAAATAGGAATAAATAAATAAATAAATAAAAATAGGAAGTGACAAGAAGGACCCACTTTGGGCCAAAATAAAAGTTTAGATTGCAGTATGGCCATGTATAGATGTTTAGAAATGTCCAGAAGGCCACTGGACTATATAGGGGTGCAGCTGAGGAAAAGACCAAACCAAAGATTACCATTTAGCAATTTTCTGTAGAAAGATGGTAGTGGAATATACCTCTAAAAGATTGTCAAATCTGTCTACTTCCCCTCATACTCCTATAGACCTCTGCTTCTTTCAGATATCACCAGCTCTTACTCAGACTGCTGAAATATTACCCAGTACTTCAAGTATACATTCCCGTGATACTAATCACTTGTAAAATAGTGCTGGAGAAAAGGAAACATACCTGACTTTGACAAAAAAAAGAAGCAATTTCAGTATTTCAACTTGCTTCCAGTTTTGTATAGCTTTGGGAATTATTTCTACTTTATTACTTTCCAAGTGAGGAAGAAAAATACTGCCCGACCTAGATGGAAAGGCACCTGTATTTCCATTGTAACTTGTGTTTTGAATGGCAAATGGACAGGTACAAAATCTTCTAGCAACTGTGAGATCAGGCAGACATTCCAGAAATGACAAACTGGAAAGACCATCATGTTGCACAGTATTGCTACATGTATCTTAAGTTTTTGGCAGATTTATCACTTCCTTTAATCAAAGGACTGTGAGGACATAAATAAGAGAATTATGTTGTTCCTATTTTATGCAAATCTTTAAAAATACGTGATTAAAATCCATTCCCAGAATTTTTCATTACAAAGGTTTCTAAATTTTAAATATATGCATATATATCATTTTATTTCTTAATTTTTTCGTGGATGATGATTTTGCCTAACCAAAACTCTTAACTATGGAGGTCAACTTTTCACACAGCAGTTATACAGCTTGTTTTTTATGACTTTCACTCTGCAAGTAGAATCCTTGACCTCCTCAGGATAACTTAGCACTTTTCCTGGCAAACCAATTAAAGAGTTTTTTGTTTACTTTGTTTTTGTTTTTGCAGTGCTGTTGGGGATGGAACCAGAGCTTTGTACATGCTATGCAAATGCACTGCTATGAGCTATGTCCTCTGCCCTGATTTCCTTTTTAATATATTTTTAAATTTTAATTGACACATAGTAATTGTGCATATTTATGGGTTACAGTATTTCATTTTGATACATGTGCACAGCCTATAATGATTACATCAAAGTGGGTATCTGTCATTTCAGACATTTCTTTGTTTTGGGAACATTCAAAATCTTCTAGTTGAAATACCTAATTAGTAGATGTCTTACTTAATAGTTATTTTGCAGTGCTTTCTTTCAAACATTAGAAGTTGTTCCTCCGATACAAATGCATACCTATACACAGTAACCATACCTCTCCATCCTCCATCTCACTCACACACACACACACACACACACACACACACACACACGTCCTTCCCAGGCTCTTATAATTGCTGTTCTTCTCTCTATGAAGGTTATTCTTTTTAAGAAAATAAACCCTCCAAAATATTTGACTACTTAACATCAGGATAGTTTCTTACTGTATCCAATAGTTATGGTGGACCACAGCCTGACTTCCTCTCACATATAGAATGCACAGGTCTCTTTGGGGTGTCAATGGGGAACAAAAGAGACTGCAAATACAAACCAGTATAGGTTGAACACTGCCTGGAAAAATTGTTTTATAAAGAAAACAATTAATTTGTGGATACACTGCAGAGGAAAATGAAATAAATAGGAGGGCCTCAGGAATGCCTTCCAACCTTGATCAATCCTAGCTCGAGTAAATTATTCTGGGTGCTGTTAGGAAGATCCACAGTGCTATCGCAGAGTCTGATTAGAACTTGCTTTTGAAGCCAGTTTACTGTTTTGGAAAAAATATTTACAAATGGGTACTATGGGAAGTATGCAAAGCACAAGCTGTATATTTTTGCTGGTTGAAAATGGGGCTTTTTGCATACAGGTTATGAGGCAGTCATTTTAGATCCACTGGCCAGGATTGGAGTGCTGAAGGCTAACCTTTTCCTATTAAACACCCAAGCAATTCTACTGGATCCCCACAAACCCAGAGCTTTTAGATAAATTAGGATTTGCCAGATGACATTGGCAAGTAGGCTAGAAATGCAGTTATATTTTTGTTGCTTTATAGGGAATTTTTGTTTTCAGAAGTATAGCTCTGGAGGTGTTTCCTTCTAGTTAGCACCTCTAGTCTGTCAACCACTGTGAGGAGTGACTCGTGATGAATTATTATCATAATGGCTGTTTTGCCAACCAGGATTGTGTTACTTTCTAGGCCACTTTGATTTCCTGAACTCTGTGTGACAAATGCCAAGTATTACAAAGTCAATTGTAGGGGAATATCATATACAAGCTAGTCGAAAAATAATTTTTCATAGAGGAAAACACCCAGTTTCCAGGCACTCTTCCTGAGTATTCTTTCCCCATCCAAGAAGGGTCTAGAGTCAAAGACCCCTGTGCTCCAAGGCCATTTTGACAGATTCTTATCTAGTCCTTGTCCCCTGTCATTTTTCATCTGGGACATTTCTGTCTTTTGTCTGGCTGCATCCAAATGGGTTTTTTTGTGTGTGTGGGGGGGGTTGTTTGGGGTTGTTTGTTTGTTTGTTTGGGGGGGGTTTTGGTACCAGGGATAAAACTCTGGACCTTGCACTTTTCAAGGCAGGCAGTGGCACCACTGAGCTAAATACCTGGCCGCAAACGAAGTGTTAAGTCCTATTCTTTGTTGAGATTGTCTGTTTTTAAAGGACTTGCTACAGGGAACTTAATGGCAACTTTGAAAGATAGGCTGTGAAGAAGAGACCACTAAACTCAGCAAAATTAGGATTTTTGAAACAGATTCCAGGCAAAAACACACTGCAACTGGGTCTTCATGCTGAGGAGGGTACAAGCTTGCAGAATATTGCTTGTTAGTTTCCCCACTCTGGTGCTTATTAAGAGTGTGGATGCCAGTAAAGAAATTAAAAGTACTTTCATACTGAAACAAATCAAATCATTTTGGTATGTAAAGTGCATTTTTACCATTCTAAATATTATGTAGGATTGATCTTGAAACAAAGAGTATAGCATATATTTGCTTTCAGAATTCATCCTCTTGGTACTGGGTGACTCTCCTTATAATTTTTTATTAACTTTGAGATTCTTTTACAAAAATTAGCTGCTCAGTTAAAATAGTAAATTAACTTTAGATCCCTTAATCATTTCATAAGCAATTCTTGAGTGCTTAAAATGTAGGGTAGAGTTTGTGAGTAAAAGACCCAGGGAGAGTGTAAATAATAGAAAAATTGTATTTAAATTCAAGGTTTACTCACCTTTGGGTCAGGGCAAAAGGAATGTCAAGTCCAGTCAGTAGTAAGCTACTGCTTTCCTGGCAAGGATTAATTGGCATATTCCATTAAGATATCCTTCATGGCAGTTATCTTTTCAGAAGGAGAAAGAAAAAAAGAAAAAAAATGTTTTATCTGTTAGGATACGAAGTGAATCATGGGATAAAATAGATGAGTAGATAGAAGTCCCTCTTTTTTAAAAAATGTCTTTTGCAATCTTGATGTAATGTGCTTTTCATAAGGGGATATGATCTCAAATAAAATTTTTGTAAAACAATTTCCAAAAAAACAAAGAGTGTGGATGCCAGAGTTTACCCCTTGGGTCTCTCATCATTTACATGCTGAGTGTGTTATTTAGCAGATTACTTATCCCTTTGTCTCAGTTGTTTCATCTATAAAGTACAGACAGTAGTAGTTTAGTTCACAGGGTTGGTGTAAGGATTGAATTCAAAAGTGAGGCAGTGGTTCTGCTGCCTGCTTCGCAACCCGAAGGTCCCACATTCAATCCCCAGTACCCCCCCCCCCAAAAAAATTAAGTTATTTTATACCTGGCACATGAGAAGGGTTCAATAAAAATGCTAGACTCATGGAATGTCAAGAAAAGATATTCTTGCTTTAGATTTGCATAAATCATCTTGCTGTCCCTGTGGCAGTCCTTCCTGCCTGTAACCTAATAATATGAAATGTTTTTATTTTGAATTTTCCTCTCTCCTTCATTCCCTAGCAAATATACAGGAGAAATATGTCTGCATATCTAAGGCCCTCTGGTTCTATGCACAGAGACAGGCCATTTGGGTTGACTGGCCTCCTGGTCCTTTTTCCTTCTCAGGTGCTGGAAAGCTTCAAAATCATGGACTACAGCCTTTTGCTGGGAATCCACATCTTGGACCATTCCCTTAAAGACAAAGAAGAAGAGTTCTCACAAAACGTGCCTGATGCAAAGCGGCCAGGGATGCAGAAAGTCCTCTACTCGACAGCCATGGAATCCATCCAGGGTCCAGGAAAATCTGGAGATGGGATCATTGCAGAGAATGCAGACACGTAAGTGTAGCTACACACCTGTCCTGATTTAGGACAGCCCACATCACTGGGTCATTACCTGTAGTCACATCCCCATTATGTGAGAGGCACCTGGGAATAGAGTCCTACTTGGTGCCAAACTGGATTAAGCCAGCCTGCATACATATATGGATAACTAAATGAGGGCCGGTTTCCTGAGTCATTGTTATTCTTTCGCCCACATGGTTTCTTTTCTCAGATGGCTTTATTATTTAACAATGGCTAAAAATATTTTTACCCCTACTTACTACATATTCAAAACATCTACCATAAGAGGGGAAAAATAAACTTTGGACTTGAATAAATGTGTATTTAAGCAAATAGAAGATGGGAATGATTCATAATTCAGAGCTTTTTATCTACATAAAGGGATTCTGTTGATCTAGTCCTGCACCCTGCAGATGTGGTCTCTCATCTGAGCCGGATGTAATAGTAGCTGCAGAATTAATTTGTATGTATAAAATGCATATTGACAACAGAAACAATTGCCGCCAATAAAAATCACTAAAAGCGTGAAGTGCATCACGTGCATACTAGTGAGCAAGGGGACTGAAAGAAAGAAATTATTCTCTGTGGCCATAAGCACCTACCTTCTAGAATTCTCTAACAATGACTAAACTACAGGCATATTTCATTTTTCTAGAGAAAATTAACACATATTAAATCTTCTAATTCTTGCTTAAAACGCCAACTAAATGTTTAATAATCAGTTGAAAACAGTAATCTGTATATATATGATGAACTATTACACATCTATTAAAAATCACACTGCTACTGAATATGAGGAAATGGTTATTGTTTAGCCAAGTAAAAAATTCAGGTTATAAAACATGATAATCTCCTTTGTAGATTAATACACCCACATACTAGAAAGAGGAACTAGATGTTAATTAGTATCGCTGTGAAATAGAATTTTTATATTCTCTTCAATGTGCTTTATTTTATTTCAGAAAAATATCACAGTAAACATCTTATTCTGTCAGAAAAAAATCACATTTTTAAAAGCAATATTTTATAGTGCTCTAAAACTTTTTGTTCATAGTTTAGAAATGGAAATAATTTTAAAATTGAATTCTTCCCATCCATCCTTCTGAGTTGACAGCCCTGGTGTTATTCTCCTCTGTGGGGAAGCATATGATTCTAGATTCCTACGAAGACTCATTAGCTAATGCAAAAGTTAAGAAAGACAGTGAAGGAGGACATTGCCCAGAATTCAATATATTTATTTTCAGTCTATTTATTGAAAATTATTTTTAACTTTTCATACTTGTATAATAATATGTGTTCTTTTTTGTCCTTTCAACAGGATGGGAGGCATTCCAGCTAAAAGCCATAAGGGAGAAAAATTGCTCTTATTTATGGGCATTATTGATATTCTACAATCATATAGGTGAGAAATTTTGAGAAGTGGCTTTTTTTTTAATTTGAAAAGCAGTCCAAAAATGTTTTGGAAAATTCACCAAATTTGAGTGGTTTTTGCATTCTTACTGTTATTTTTTCATTTACATTTAGGTTAATGAAGAAGTTAGAACATTCTTGGAAAGCTCTCGTGTATGATGGGGTAAGTGACTTCTGTTTCTTGTTAAACTGGATGTATTCTCATTTCTCAGAGACTTCTGAGTGTGTTTGGGAAACTGGATCACTGGACTGTAAGAGTGGAGCAAATGTCTTTATAGCTCAGAATCTTAGGCTGGCAAGTTGGTTCAGATCTGAGAACTTAAAACACATAAATTTGAATAGCTATTCAAATAGATGACATCCAGCTTCCTGGCTGTGTGGCAGCCAGGACAGCAAAGTGCTGGTTATTTCTGTGTGAAATTCAAAGACCCCAATTATGAGATAAAGGGGAGAAAAAAGAGGACTCTTTTCAAAGGCACTGGGAAGATTGAAGCTGTTGAAATTGAGTTCTCAGAAGACCAAGCTACTGAGCAGCTTGAGACCTGGCTTTGATTGTAGGGACCCTGGATTTGAACTCTGCCTGCACAACCTGACTGTCCAAGTGATGTGGACACATGCTTGTGATGTGGCCTCTCTTAAGCAAGTTTCTCATCAGTAGCATGGGGACAACCACAGAACCTGCCTGCTGTGAGGCTGAAATGCAATAATGCATGTAGTACATATCATGATGCCTGACACATAATAAGGACATGCACTGTGAAAATGTTTGTTGGTATGAATGTACATGTTTATAAACTTGTACATTTATACATGCTGACTGGTGTGAAGATGTCATAAGGGCTATGTCATACGTTAATTGAGGGAAAAACTCAAATATCAAAGAGCAAACAGTCTCACACACACACACGCACGCACGCATCTAGATATTAGATTTGAACTTCCTGCTCCCATCAGAACATTTATTGGCCTAAGCTTCCCTCAGTTAATGACTGCATGTGGCACTTCCAAAGAATATAATGGTCAAGAATTTGATCACACATTTTCTTTTAAGGTGTTAGCAGAAACTTTCTTTTGAAAGAGGATAAATTATAGATGTTCTTTTCCTTCCTGGAAAAGAACATACATTTTTCAATTTTGTGGAAGACTGTTAATAACCTTGCATCTTGAAAGATCTGCATTTTGTCCATGGGCTAAGAGCTGACCTCTGTCAGAATGCACTTTTGAACAGGCTCACAAATTTGGTTCTAAGAAGTAACCCCAGGCTTATTCAGATCAAAGATTTGTCCTATGGAAAGTTCAAGATGGTAAGTTAATTTTAGTTCTACTTCCAGATGAGAAAGGTAGGTTTAACCTAGCACCTTGAACATGGAAGAGAGAGAGAGAGCGAGAGAGCAAACATACCTGCTTCTCCATCATTCCCCTTCAGTTTACTGAGACAACTTCCATTCCCTGTTACCCGGTGAGATTTCTGATCAGCGGCCCCGTCCTGGGTTGGCCAGATGCTTCTCTGAGGCCTACCTTTGTCTACTTAAAACACACATTCTCTATTTCATTTGTTCATTTTTAAAGAAAATCTCTTTGCTCATTATACATTTGTGACATCACAAACAATAATCGACCTATTTTTGTTTGTTTACAAATGTGACCTTTATTTAGTCAGTGCTTCTTCATACTAAAGAGAATAAGGATGGATCTCCTTTAAAGGTAAAGGCTATGTCTCAGTCATCTGCAGATATTCCTTACATCCTACTGATATTTCTAAATTACTGTTGTGAGAAGGCATCCACTTCAGACAGAGACTCCCAGCATCCCAGAGAGAGTCCATATTACATCAAGGAATATGGCACCGGGAGTAAATGTTCTGCCATATCACAGCCTCTCCAGGAGTCTGAAGGACCATTAGAACATACCAAAGAGGGGCCGTGCGTACTGTGTCCTTCCTCACGTGTTGGTTACAGAGTTACAGATCATGCCTCCTATACACCCTGTTTCACAGATGAAGAAACTGAGCTCCTGAGTCTCTAGCTTTTCCTGGGATCACACAGTCCTTTAGAGTTAGAACTCACACCAGAACCAGATCTCTTAACTCCTGGTCCAACATGTGTCTTGTTTTTTTTGTTTTGTTTTGTTTTTTTCCATCCCCACTGTTGACACTTTGTAGCATGTCAACTTAAATTTTTAGAAATTTCCCTTTTGGAATCCACAAACTTGAACTCAAAATGGAATGTTAGGCATACAAGCAAATTTACTATTTCAAGAAATATACAACTTGAATAACCAATAATTGCCACTAAATGAACAGAGACAATCCATTCATTCGTCTATTCCCTTTCTTAGATTTACAGTAAAATGACCTTTCAATTTCAAAGAGTCCTGACAAGCAGGAGAGAAGAGTTAACGGTTCACCTCTGTTTGATCAATAGATAATTCATTATCACTTCAGTTAGCCTTATCTGCTAGGAATCCTCTTAGCTCTGTTCAACTTGTCACTTGGAGATGAAGCCAGAACACTTTTTAGCTGAAGTGTCACTCTCACATTAGAGTTGTTCTATTTATTTATGTCCCTGATTTTTATCTATGGCTAAGAACACTACCCTCCTTTCCAAATGACACTGGAAGCACTGGCTACCTATGAAAACCAAAGAGTTGAAAAGCCCCTCCTGGGACCCAGTGTTAAATTAAAGGTCTGCTATCTGATGTAACAGAGTCCTTTGGCCATCTCTCCTTGTCCCCTAAAGCTCCAGTTTATCTTGATTATCTGGAGTCGTTGTTTGGATTGAGTTTGTGCCCTCCTCCCCATCTAGGCTCCTGGGCCCCCCCATGACTCAGAATCTTGCTCTTTCTAGCTTGTGGCCACTTTGGCTCCACACAGTGGCCTGCAGAGAACCATTTACAGAGATCTTGTTTCTGACTTGAGCTGAGCTCTCAAGAGGTAATCCTGTGGTCCTTGGTTTGTCTTTTCAGGACACTGTTTCAGTTCATAGACCAAGTTTTTATGCAGACAGATTTCTAAAGTTTATGACTTCCAGAGTTTTCAAGAAAATTCAAGGTAAGATCAGTATGAAAATTTCTAACTTACAGTATTTAGTTGCTGACTTTACTATCTGTGTAAGATTTTTATTGGAAGAATTTGAAACTTTTTTCCCCTGCATTGGTAATCACTTAGTATTTATGGTTAAGTACCCCAATCAGGTTTTTATTGATGTAATAATCATTACCCTTGTTCTTTGGTGAAAAAATGAGTATGTGTATATCTCCAACAATGTAATATGTTGGTTAAATATATAATATAATCAAATAATGGGACAGTATGAAACCAATGGAAATGTATTAGAGGTACAGTTAGTCACGAGTATAGATTTATTTACCTGTGTATAGTTACCCATCTGTGTACCTTAAATGCACAGCAGAATTTTAATGAGACATATAAAACTATGAATAACTATGAATAACTATAAATAACTATGGTTATTTCTATGGAACATTCTGCAGGATAGACCATGGAGGCCACAGACCAAATCTTAATGAATTAAAGATATTAAAGTAAAAAAAAAGATATTAAAGTCATATGAAGTATCTTTTTTATCACAGTGGAATGAATCAGTAAAGAATGAAAACTGGAAAATTTACAAATATGTGAAAATTAAATGACATACTCTTTACTGATAGGTTAATCACAGGGATAGTGAAAAAAGTCAGAGACAAACTGAAAATGTCCATACCAAAAATTTATGGGATCCTGCAAAGGCAATTCTCAAAGAGAAATTTATAGATATAAACTCCTTTTTAAATTTTTTTTGGTACTGGGGATTGAACTTGGGACCTTGCGCTTGTGAGGCAGGCGCCGGTAAACTCCTTTTTTTAAAAAAAGAAGAAAAAGGACCGGGGATTTAGCTCAGTGGTGCTACCACCTGCCTCACGACCACAAGGGCCTGAGTTCGATCCTAGGTACTAAATAAATAAATTTTTAAATATAAAAAAGAAGAAAAATATCAAAGCAGCATCCTAACTTCAAGCCTTTGATAATTAAAAAAAGAGGAGCAAACTAAGCCCAAAGTTAATAATAGATATTTCAAATGAAAGGATTATGTGGGATTTTATTTTTCCTTATATTGATATTTAATTAAATTTTCTACAATGAATATATGGTATTATATATTAAGTTTTAAAACTGTGTAAAAAGGATAAAATAACTGTTATATACATATTTTTATGTTATCATTGTCTATTCTATGGTCCAGCTTTATAACCCCAAACATAATTTTGCTATCTGCAAAAACTGAAAAAGTAGAATGTTCATATTTTATGTTTGGAAAGAACAAATTTTTCTTATAATATTTATTGGAGTTTGAAAGATACAAACTAAACAATGACAATTACTTGATATCCCACAACCTTGAGATATCTGGTACTAATATTTTTATGTACGTCCTAGCAGTCTTTATTTCTATGCTTTATGTATTCATGTAAAACTGGTGACTCAGGGGGCACAGCTCAGTGACAAGAGCAAATGCTTAGCATGCATGAGGGTCCAGATTCAGTCCTCAGCACTGAAAAAAAAAACCCTGGTAACATAATGGTTTGTAATTTTAACTGTATGTCTTCTGTTTTTTACATAGCATACCATGAATACTTTCCCATGTCCTTGAACATTCCACAAGAACATCATTTAAAATTGTAATACAATGTTCAAATTATATGGGTGTGCCATAATGTATTTTACCATTCTTTCAGTATTTGACAGTTATGTAGTCTCTCGTTTTCTAACTAATATTTTTATGAGCATAATTTCAGAGAAATGCTGCATCTAAATTAGGGCTTATTTATTTGGGATAGATTCCAAGAAGAAATGATAGGGTACTAAACTGCACATAACTGCAAGAAGTAATTGTACCACTGAAGGCTCCCACAGGTCTGTCTTCTGCCAGCTCTCAGCCAGCACATGCTTTTGAAGTTACGCTACTCTAATAAGTAAAAAATATTATCTGATAGTTTTGTTTTGCATTTCTTGAGTAGGGTAAGATTCAACCATTACTCATGTTTAATAGCCATTTCTAATTCCTTTGAGAATTGACCTTCATAACATTTGACCATTTATATTGGGTGTTTATTATTTTTCCAAATGATTTGTACAAGCTCTACATATTAAATATATAACCCTGGGCTGGGGATTTAGCTCAGTGGTTGCACCACCTGCCTTGCAAGCACAAGGACCCGAGTTTGATCCCCAGTTCCAAAAAAAAAAAAAAGATATAACCCCCTTTTTACCTTATTATCCTGAGAAAAACGTTTTTCACATTTGACTATCTCAATAGTATATTAAAATTACTGTCAAGTTGAGACCACTGTAAATTAAATTTTCTGCCTACAGTTCATTGCATTTTGGATTTGTTTTATTTTGTTTGTTGTTTGTTTGTTTGCCTGGGATGAACCATAAAGTTATATTTATTCAGACTGCAAGCCTTTGTAAATATCAGCCTGGGTTTAGATTTTCAAGATTTTCCACCTCCTTTAACCTTATGCCAGGGTAGCAAACATAAGCTTCCTTGTAGGAAATTGGTAGTTTATAAAAGATGTAGCTCTTCACTGTTCCAGCCTTTGGGAGACTCCTCCGTAGGACTCCACATCTTGGGATGTCTTTTTTTTTCTTAGTAGAATATAAATTAAAAGTATAATCAATGGCTTCTTCAGTTCCAAAAAATACAGCATGTGCTACACATTTTCCCAGTTTGTATGCTTTGTCATGTATTTAAGGTAGAAAGTCTTACTTCTTAAGCAGTAAGTTTATTGATTTTTTTCCATTTTGATTTTACAATCTATTTTTATAAGATTTGTCGAAATAAAATTCATTACCACAGGAAGACCTTTTTTTGTTTTTGTTTTTGCATTTCAATAATTTCATTGAAAGTTTTATCTCTTAGTACCAAACATAAAGGTAGTTGGTCAGGCAACCTCTGCCAACTCAAAATTAATACTGGTATTTTCAAAATATTAAAATATATCAGCCTTATGGTAAAACTGAAAGTATCCACAAAATATGGTTTACAAAAAATTAAAGGTAGAATACACAGTGGTTCTTTGGTTTATTTTTCAGTCCTTAGTTATCTGTAACATGATGTCAAAATTGGTTACATCCATTCTGGATAGACTCAGGCTTCAGGCTGCACTGTTTACAATATTAACAATATATGTACATTTCCTTATACTGATTGGCTTATATGGAGAATTCCAAGCACTACCCCAGCAATCTCATAATTATGGTGATGCCTGCTTACTTTTCTTAAGACACATTATGGAAATTTGTGAAAGTATATTCTATTCCTTAAAAAAACAAAACAAAACAAAATTGAAAGCAATGGCAATTTTATAGAAACAGTCCATAGTAAAACCTGGAGTGCTTTATCTAGCCAGAACGTAGGGTAAAGCAAGTTTTCAGAGTGGTAATTGATTTTGATTTAACTATGTAATATAATAGAACGTATTTTTAAAAAATGGAACTAGATAAGACTGAGGAAGTAGATTCTGTATAGAAATTTTTATCATTGATACAAATGTCACCTGTTTTTTAGAAGAAACATTAAAGATAGCTCAATGAATATGCCAAACTTAGTAGGTCTGTATTTTGGCTTAATACAAAATGTTTTTAAATTTAAATGTAGTTCCCATATAGCGGTAACATTCTCATCTCTGAACTATCTATGACTTGACTTGTGGGTGCCAAGAAACCATTACATTATCTAGAATATAACCTTATTATGCCTTTAAAAAGTGCATGTGTGAAATGTTGGTTTTGATGTAAACCTCATAATTTAAAATTTAATATGTAAATTAAGTAGGTTACCATATTCCAAATCACCTAAATATAATATATTGATCCAGTATAGAAAGTTAAATTAATGTTAGAAATGAAGATTCACAGTTCACCCTTTCAGGCTTGTTTCACATTTATGTCTTTAGCTTTACAGATGAATTCAAATCTAAACAATCTTACTGCAGCATTATATTAATTAGGCAGTTCTCCAAAGATGGAGAACATCATACTGATCTAGTTGTGATGTTTTGAGGGTTCATAATTTATCTTTTTTTTTTTTTGGTACTGGGGATCGAACTCGGGTCCTTGCGCTTGTGCAGCAGGCAGCAAAACCACTGAGCTAAATCCCTGGCCCAGTATTTTGTTTTTTGGTGCCCGGGATCGAACTCAGGCCCTTGTGCTTGCGAGGCAGACGGTGGCACCACTGAGCTAAATCCCTGGCCTGAGGGTTCACAATTTAAATCAATGATAACATTATGGAGTCCATAGTTCGGGGTTGTGGAGAAAGGCTTCAAAGAAATTTTTTTGTTGCTGCAGTAATACTATTTATGTAAAGAACAAAACCCCCCAACTTAGCAAAAGTTTATCTAAATACTACTAGCTGTTAAAAGTAAATTTTTCATGCCCAAGTTTCATAATCATTATGTGGATGTATTAAATATTAACATTCAGTTTTGAGCAGGAAAAGATAAATCATTACTGTAAGTTAATAAATTTAGATGGCAAGAACATATAGAATATATGCAGTGACTGAATTTATGTTTTTTATGAATATAATTACGTTCTGTTATTCCAATT